CGAGGGGCCCCCAAATTCTCCCAGCAAGTCCAGCCTTGCTATCCAACTCATTCTTTGGTGAATTAGTTGTTTTAAATATCAAGTTAAAAAATTGCATAACACGGCCTCCAATCAAAACCTGAGAAATGAAGAGGTACAGCCGCTTTGGAAAACAGTGTGGTGTTTCCTCAAAAAATTAAAAACAGAGCTACCCTATGACCCAGCAATTGCACTCCTGGGTATTTACCCCAAAGACACAGATGTAGTGAAAAGAAGGGCCATATGCACCCCAATGTTCACAGCAGCCATGTCCGCAATAGCCAATCTGTGGAAAGACCCGACATGCCCTTCAACAGATGAATGGATAAAGAAGATGTGGTCCGTAGATACAATGGAATATTACTCAGCCATCAGAAAGGATGAATACCCAGCTTTTACATCCACATGGATGGGACTGGAGGAGATGATGCTGAGTGAAATAAGTCAAGCAGAGAAAGTCAATTATCATATGGTTTCACTTGGAGGACATTAGGAGAAGGAAGGGAAAAATGAAGGGGGGGGACATCGGAGGGAGAGACGAACCATGAGAGACTACGGACTCTGAGAAACAAACAGCGTTTTAGAGGGGAGGGGGGTGGGGGATGGGTTAGCCTGGTGATGGGTATTAAGGAGGGCACGTGGAGCCCTAGGTGCCTGGAGCACTGGGTGTTATACACAAACAATGAATCATGGAACACTACATCAAAAACTAACGATGTACTGTATGGTGACTAACATAACATAATAATAAAAAAAAAAAGAAATACGGGAAAATCCCCCCCTCCAATGATGCCAGATCACTGCATCTTACTTCATAGTGAGCCCAAAATCGAGCAGCAAAAATTCACAGAACACCTACTGTGTACAAGTATCATGATGAATGTGCCAAAGACACAGGACCCAGAGCACAGAAGCCTCTCCTCTTTAGCTTGACAGACAGGACACGTACAAACCTCCCCCAGGTGATCTATGTAATACCAGGTGTGCTGTGTGCTGAGGACGTGGGGCTTTCTAGCCCCACACACTGGAGTTTACTTACAGATTGAACAAACACACAATACAACTGAAGTGCCTGCTGAAATTTAGGCTCGATTTACAGAGAAATAAAAATGGGCAACATTCTGGAGTGTTATTCAGCAGTACTTAGCTCTGAACCTTTCTGACATAGTTATAAAATGACAGAATATGCAGAAAGCAGAGTATCCTAAAAACAAAATCTAAAACAATACTATAATTCTATTAAGTATAAATCCAGTAAGTGTGTTGATGTGGCTTAAAACTAACCATGAGATTGATCGAATGCTGCATTATTTGTTGAAAATTCTGTACATTTTTAAACAGTTTAACAACCTATTTGAAAATCCCAGGACTCCAAAATCACAACAAAACGTTTTTTACACTTAACTATGAAAGAAGAGTAAAACCTATACAAGGAAAATTCTATCTAATCGGGAAATTTAAAATTTGATATTTAATAAAGATATTAAGTGTTCCTGGATATATAAAATTAAACCATGTAAAAATTCCATTTTCTTCTTCAGAGTTACAATTTTTATAAAATTCCAACAAAAAATGTCAATGGTTCTAGGATGTATATAGAAAATTAATAAATAAGAACATGAATGGCACACTTTGAAAGTAACAGGGACAACCTAAAGTTTTTGAGTCTTACTTAAAATAAATCAGAACTAGGGGCGCCGCGGTGGCTCAGTCGGTTAAGCGTCCAACTCTTGGTTTTGGCTCAGGTCATGACCTCAGGGTCTTGTGATTAAACCAGAGCCAGAGTCAGGCTCCCTGCTCAGTAGGGGAGTCTGCTTCTCCTCTCCCTCCCCCCACAACCCCCCCAGCTCATGGTCTCTCTCTCTCTCTGAAATAAATACACAAATAAATATCGTCAAAAAATAAATCAGAACCAGAATAGAAATGAAAAAAACAAAGAAAGCTGCATAGATTCAAGCAGTAGTTTTCTCAATTCCCAAAAAAAAGACAGTACCAAACAGACAAAAAAAAAAAAAAAATCAAGGAGTTTCAGACAAACTTCTTGGTTATGGACACATTAATTTTGTAGTGCTAAACAAAATACATTTTCCCTGCACAAAAGGATGGCGTCTAAAACAACATTCAAGCCAGTTTCATGAATGAGGAATAGTAAATAGGACCTGTCACTGAGGTTCTCCTCCTCAAGCTTTCCATCTCTGATCTATGAATGTTATGAGTGTGTGTGTGTGTGTGTGTGTGTGTGTATAGAGATGCACTGTTTATTGCATATATATGTTATCTATACATATGTATGATAAATTCACATACATACTATATCTTTGTACATTACACAGATATATGTACTATATAAAAGGTCTATAAAAATCTCAGGCAAACCATGATAATGACAATAGCAGTTACATCTGGACTTTGGAAGCTGGGTAAATTTTGATTCACTTGATAGAATTTTTTGTTACTTTCCAAACTTTCTAACAATTACAAATTACTTAGGGAAAATTTTTAATAAGCATATAACTTTTGGATGCCATAAAATCATAAATTTGTAAAAATTTGCACATGTTAGGAAAATTTAAAATATAATAGAGAGTATTTTGGGGACGTGGGACTCCAGGAGTTAATTAATTTCTTACTCAATGTCCTTTCTTCTTAAGTCTGCTATAAAGAGCCCGTATCCTCTCTGTGATGGTAAAGTTAAGGTTTATCTGTAAAACTAACGTGCAGAGGCTGGGGAACACTAGCATGGAGGTTGAAGGAGACTGACGCACTGTGACCCGACCAGATATTAAAGCTCATTATATTACAAAATGCTTAAAATATTTTATTTAATACAGATAAATAGAATAATAAATCAATGAAAAAACTGTCCAAAATAGATTCGACTATATATGAGAAACTTAATATAATACAATAAGCTTTCGAATGCAAACAAGTTAAAAAGAATCATCCAATAAATTTAGTTGAGATATTTAGCAGTAATTTGGAAGGAAAAAATAAAAGAAGAAAGGGGAAGTTAAAGTTAGTAGACATGATCTACCAAATGAACGCCAGGAGGATTAAGGAGTTAAGTACCAAACTAAAACACTACGTTAGATAGAAGTCAAAGTAGCAGCGAATACAGTAGGCTATGTAAGAGATTATGAATAAATACATTTTTAGCTTTAATGCATTAGAGACGATCAAAAGGAAAAGTTTATCACATTAAATACACAGATGTAAAATCTCTGTAAAAAAGTTAAAAAAAGCAAAATATTGTGAAAATATTTACAGCAGAATTTTGATAGGCAGAATGTCTAATATAGTTTCTTCAAAATTACAAAAAAAAATTAGGACAAATGAGGGAAGTTATAAATAAAAATTAGCAGAACATAAAATTAGAAGTTATCCAAATATGCAGAAAGAAATTCTTATTTGCAAGCAGGCAACAAATTACATCTGAGATACTGTTTTACAACTACTAAATTAGCCAAAATAAATTTTAAAAGATAAAATGCTGTAAGAATGTGGAGAACTTGTCCACTGCATTTCTGACTGCATCCATTTATACCTCATTTTGAAAGCAACATGGCAAGAGGCAGCGAGGCTGGTAAAGATGTTCATCCCCTTTAGCTCTGATAGTCTATCTACAGAACTTATATGGAACATATAATTCCTCAGAAACAAGAGATCTGCACAAAAATTTTGGAAATGGTCACGTTACATAACTGCATGATACAGCAAACTAATATGGAATTACTTAGAAATAGGGAAAATGCTTATTGTATAATGATAAGTGAACACAAAAATATACTATATGCTATATTTTTTCAATTACGTAGGAAATACAGATGACAAAAGGCAAAGTATGAAAATAATTTATGTGTTAAAGTATACTAAAAGTATTAGTGTTTCCTAGTTTATATATGTTTCAATCCAACTGTTTCTGATAATTGACACAAAGCATATGTTAAAATCACGGTCTTTATGAAATAGGTAAGAATTTTGTCCATGAATAAGGCAGTTAGTGAAAAATACGTTTCCAGCCAGAGCATCTGATGTGTGTGTGTGTGTGTGTGTTATCTCACAGAAGAGCACCTAGTCAGTAAGTCATGCACTTCCCTTCACAAGTGCAAACTTGTATGTACAGAACTACACCTGTTCTGCTCACCTCACAGTCAGTGTGAAGGTTAAGGACACAGTAGCCGTGACAATAACTATCCCAGCACGTGCCTGCCCGGCACATTCTGTGCTCCAAACATGTTCCTTCAAAATAAATAAAAGAGAAACAATACCAAGGATTTCTTAAGGTGTGCTGCTACTGAATGTAATACAAATACTGCTTTTCATCTTCGAAATGCATGAACTAGAGTCGAGCATTGAGGGATGCCCTGCCCAATCCGAGGTTTCAGGGATCTGTAAGACTCTGGAGTAAGTGGGACATGAACAAAGGCAGGAATCACTTAAGAACTCTTACAAGATCATAAACTTGTGGATTTCCTGGAAAAGCATTAAAATCTCTGCATGTGTGCATGTGTGTGTGTGTAAAATGAACTTTTTGAAAACTAAGGCAACAAATCAAAGAAATCACAAACGCACACCTGCTGCAATATGAGCTTCCCTGGGAGGCAGGGCACGCCATGCGCCCTGAGGAAGTGTTTACCTTTACCTGGCCTTCTCTGACTTCGGTAGACAGAATCTACGCTAACATGCGGTACTTTCTTCCTGGAGGGCTAGACAAGGTTTCTGACAAAGGCATGATCTGTGAGACTATGTGGCCCTTTCCTCCTCCGCTCTGCTTGTGGGACAGGACAGCCCTCAGGCTCTGCTCACTGAAGGACAGAACGTGCTGTGCACGGGCTGTGCCCGGAAGCCCCCTCCAGTTTAGATGCAACTTTCACAGTCTCCGTGTACTGGCCCACTCTCGAGCCCCCAGAGCAGAGGCCATCCTCCACACCTGTGGACGCCAGGCTCCCTGACTCGTAAATGCCTCTGTGCCCGAAACCTACCTGTTTCTTCTGGACCCTGAAGGGCACGCTTGTTCCTGCTGCTTTGGCTGGAGTTGCCCTCTCCTGCAGCGGGTGGTGCGAAGATCCCCTAAGAGAGAAACCCCAAGTTACTGCAAAGACATCTGAGGTGCAGGAGGCGGCAGTGCGGGGGGAGCCCACGCCTGGGGCTGCAGCTGCTTGCTGCAAACTCACTTTCAGAGCCGAGGTGACAGCTGGAGCCTTCCGCACGGCTGCCCCGGGGGCCGCGGCTCCGGCCTGGGGGGCGCCTGGCAGCCGCTTTGCCTGGTGTTGCCGCAGCTCCGCCTGGAGGCTCCCCAGCTCGGCCTGAAGGGCGGCCACCCTGCAGAAAGCCAGCACCGAGAGGCAGCCGGCCATCAGGGCCAGCAGCAGGGTCACGGCCAGCAGCGCTCCATCTTTGGAGAATGGGACAGAGGGGCTTTCCTTCAGGGGGGGGATGGAGACACACTCCCTCAGTTTCATTTCTTCTCCCCTCTCCAGGCAGGGAGAAAGGCGTGACCGCTGGCCTGCACAGCCATCCATGGCACTCCTGGAACTTTGGAGGTTCGGGCCTTTCGAGTGAGCGAGCGCAGGGAATGGATCATTTCCTGTGAGCTGTGCTTGCTGGTGTCCTGCACTGACTCCAGGGCCTGGCCCTGCTGTCGCCCGCAGGAGAGCTCTCCTGAGCCTCCCACCGTCTGCCCCGCTGCATCCCGGCCCCCACTGTATGATAGGTCTTCCTGGCACTGGCCCTTCAATCCGATTGCCCAATCATTTCCTCATTTCACTTTCAGTTTTTGTAAGAATTTTAATGGCATCTCAAGACACACACACACACACACACACACGCACATACGCATACACGGGCCCCGTGCATCCTCCGGCGTGTCGGGACGCGAGGTGTGGGCTGGTCCACTGGGGAGAGCCCCGCGGCCGTCCAGGTGCGGGACAAGCATGGCAGGGCTGCCCCACTCGGGGCCACATGGCTCCGGGCGGCAGGGGGAAAAGAACATTGAGGTTCCTGGTGCTGTAATAAAAATAATTAATGTGAAGGTCAGATAAGCTAAGTGGCAGCCCTGAACTGTACTCAGTTGGAGAATGATTTATGAACGGTCTCTAGGTAGGAAACAGAATGAGACGTCCTCAGAGGAGGCACGGAAGTCCACTGGGGCATAGTCGCTTTATTATTGTCTCAGCAACGCAACTCACAGACTGTGACCGAATCTGGGAGGTGTATTTAGAGTCCATCGGAGGCGTTCTTTCTCTGCAGGGGATGCATTTTGAGGGGAAACCTGTGCGCGCCCTTCCTACTGGGACTGGCCACCCTGACAAGCCCTCCCACTGATCTGCAAGTGGTCGCTCACTGCGACGCGGTCTGGGAAACCCAGCCTTCTCTCCGGCTCCCAGTGCCTCCGCCCAGCCCCACTGGGAGCAGCATGCTCTCTCCCTACAGTCCTTGTTAGGCTGACTCTGCCCCAGCCTAATGGGCATGCAAACAACCTGACTCAGCCCACAGACACTTTGGCTTCCAGTCTCTGCTGCTGGACTTGGTCTGGCTGCAAAGACGGCAGTCCTGCCCTGTCTCGATGGCGGGCTTCTGGACGTTTCCCGGCTGCTCTGCCCCCAGCACAGGCGTGTGGTCAGGAGCTCACACCTCCACAGCGTTCCTGGGCATGAGCTGAGGCCAGGGACACATGACTCCTCTGTGTGCTCCGTCCCCCTCCCATTCTGTACCAGCTTCAAACAGCAAGTTGCAGAAACCGTGTGAGCAAGGAGAAGGGCTCCAGAACCAGGCTGTGACTCTCTCTGGGCAAAATACGTGGTCTCCTCATCTGTGAAATGGGAGGATGGCTGTCCCTGAGAATTCTAACAAGCCTCATAGGAATGCAGAACAAACTATATTTAGGCTGCTTCCATTTCTCATCCATGTTCACTCATTACGAGAAGTATTTTTATTGCAGACAGCACCACCGCAGACGTCTCTGTGCATGTCCCCCTGTAACGCCTGCAGGGGTCTGACAGCAGACACCTGCTGGGAGTCCGTACATCTTCACCTTCACCAGGAGCCACAGAGACCTCCCACTGAGGTGTGCGTGCTAGGGGTGATGTCATCAGACACTCATTTTTACCTATTAGGACTGTTATTTTTTTTCTTTGTGAGTTCTAAGACCTTTTTAAATGACTTTTAAAGAACTTTAGAAAAACTTCACAAAGTTCTTTCAGAGATGACCTTGGTCCCCCCCACATCAGCCGTTCTCCAATCTCTGAGGTGGAAGGACGTCTTCTCTGAGTGTGTGTCAGACATCAAGTGACTGCGTCTTCTGTCACAGCCCCTGTCACCAGGCCCATCTTGGTGACACACACTAGGTAACGTTCCAGAGAAAATGGAATTCGTTTGGGGACGATATTAGACCCTCTGTGTGAAAGTAAGGGAGACTCACTCAGGTTCCGTGTGTGTACGAGTGTTACCTACATACATACAGAAATAAAAGAATTCAAGGCAGAGCTGGAAACCCATCACTCTCTTCTTTCACTCAGGACACTTGCAGCCATTGCTTCTTCCTGGAAGCTGACCTTCTTCCACTTCCGGGGGGGCCATGCTTCTCCATATTCTGCTGTAAAAAGTCCAAAGACAGGGACTAATTTGATTGTGTTAGAGAATTAGCTCTGCCTCCGTCTCTCTTTGGGGCAGAGACCTTCATGGCCGACTGTCTCCAGAGAGAGCCACTGAGCAGCCTCCATGCAGGTCGACTTACAACACGTGTCTCATCTCGCACCAGGCAGTGGGCAACCCTAAGCATGGAGAGGGCAGCAGGGCGGCGGCCTCCCCGACCCACGTGTGAGCTCGTGGCCAAGGCGTGTGTGCGTCGCCCACAGCGATGCCACCACTGAACTTCTCCGGAGACAGGTAGAAACCAAATGGCAGTCATGTGCTCCTGAGTTTCTTACTAGAGGAACAAACGGAAGTTATTACTCCATAAATCGAGGATCTGTTTCCTGCTGAGGAAACGGTTTGACAATAATTTAACTGAAATTCTGTTCAACAAGTAGCACGCTATTCACTGAATAACATGCCATACCACAAGTTTATTCAGGGAAGGAAGCCAGCGTACCTGAGCCACAGAGTGTTCTCGGCCAGGATGGAGCTATTTTTACCCACTTCTTTTTCTCACCTAGAATAGAAAACACTCCTGTGTAATACAGCTCGACCAGATGTAATAAATGAATCCATGTTCCTTGTCCCATCCACTCAGGATTGGGTAGATGGGAACATGTGAGAGTATATGTGAAAAGAATTTAAGTTATGAGTTTATCCAAGGGTGTGAACCAGAGAATAAAACAAACATGCACTCTTTGGCTGCCTGCAGCTTATACTGAAAGCCTCAAAAATATTCAAAAAGCTTAATTAGAAACTTCTGGCTTAACAGTATTATGAAGAATTAGCACCTTTAGGACACCCCTCTTATACCCCTTCTTTGAGGACAAATTGTCTTTCCTGAGGATTTGGACCACTCAATCATGTAGACAACTCTTCTAGACATGTGGATGTAGCTAACAATTGATCTTGGTAAAACCGGCTTCCTAAAGTGCTCAAAATATGGTAAACAGCTGGATACGAATAATTATTACGTTTGAGAAAGAATCACGTTGTTTTCTGTTGGAAATATATATGCAGCCAGTGAAATGGATTTGTAAGGCTAAATGCTAATCACGTGGTAACTTAACTGTGAAGTAATGGTATAGTTTTCTGGTCATTTCATATACAAAAAATAACGTTGGCAATACTAATTCCTAATTCTCAATAGTTACATTAAAAATAGAAGCATGTGCATTTACGGGAGCCGAATTTGTGTCACCGTTGGGAAGAACATCCACTTTTGTTCAGTATTCATTTTCATTTGCAAATGCATCTTTAGTTTGTTGTGGGACTGCTTTCGGATGTAATGCTCTTGAGTAACAGTGTTTAAGGGTGTGCTTTCAAGAAATTTCTGTTGACTTCAATATATTTTCGATGATAGTGCAGTATAGTTTGCTCTTCTTTACCTTTATAATACCAACACGAATAAAATTTTCATTAGTATTAAGATGGATATGTGTCAGTCATTGCAATCATCTACCTATTTCATACACATGAATGAACTTGTCTGTGTCACATACACAGACACAGAACACACACTGACACCTAGGAGTACTTGAATAAAAGCTGCTCAGACTCAACCTGCCTCAAAAACATTGGGAGAAATGATAGAGTGATTCTACCCATGCAAGAAATATTACTCTCTGCCTGTAAAAATTAGTCAGGCAGAACTCACAAACATTTAAAATACCTTATTTGGAATTTCGCTCAATAAATGTTAGACGTAAAATGATGGAGGTGGGGAGTGCAGGTCAGACATGTCTGCATGCCCAACCAAGGCTACTTCACTACCTTAACAGACTCTTTCCTGCCCCAAATCTAGGAACTGATTTTTTTTTCTAACTTCTGCACCACTTCATTTTTTTTTTTTTTAATTTAAATTCAAGGTGCACCTGGGTGGCACAGTCAGGTAAGCATCCGACTCGACTCCTGATTTTGGCCCAGGTCATGATCTCAGGGTTGTGAAATTGAAACCCCAAGTCGGGCTCCACTCTGGGCGTGGAGCCTGCTTAAAATTCTCTCTCCCTCTGCCCCTCCCCCAATGCCTGCATGCGTGCACTCATGCTCTCTCTCATAATAAATAAATAAATAAATAAATAAATAAATAAATAAATAAATAAATAAATTTAAGTTAGTTCACATATAGTACAGTACTGGTTTCAGGGGGGTAGGATGTAGTGATTCATCAGTTGCATACAACACCAAGTGCTCATTACTTCAGGTGCCCTCCTTAATGCCTGTCACCCCATTACCCCATCTCCCCACCCACCTCCCCTCCAAGCAACCCTCAGTTTGTTCTCTATATTCAAGAGTCTCTTATGGCTTACCTCCCTCTCTGTTTTTAATCTTATTTTATTTTTCCTTCTCTTCCCCTATGTTCATCTGTTTTCTTAAATTTCTCAAATTCCACATGAGTGAAATCATATGGTATTTGTCTTTTTCTGACTGATTTATTCTGTTCAGCATAATACCCTCTAGCTCCATTCACGTCATTGCAAATGCAAGATTTCACTTTTGATGGCTGAGTAATATTCCAATATAGTAATATTCATATATATATGATATATATGATATATACACACACACCCCCCCCACATCTTCTTTACCCATTCATCTGTCAATGGACATTTGGGCTCTTTCCATAATTTGGCTATTTTTAAAAAATAATATATATATATATATATATACTTTTATTATGTTCAATTAGCCAACATATAGTACATCATTAGTTTTTGATGATCAACAATTCATTAGTTGTGTATAACACCCAGTGCTCATCACATCACATGCCCTCCTTAATACCATCACCCAGTTACCCCATCCCCCCACCCCCCTCCCTTCTGTAACCCTCAGTTTGTTTCCCAGAGTCTAAGAGTCTCTCATGGTTTGTCTCCCTCTCTGATTTCTTCTCATTCAGTTTTCCCTCCCTTCCCCCGTGGTCCTCCACTCTATTCCTTACGTTCCACATAGGAGTGAAACCATATAATAACTGTCTTTCTCTGCTTGACTTATTTCACTCAGCATAATCCCCTCTAGTTCCATCCATGCCAATGCAAATGGTGGGTATTCATCCTTTCTGATGGCTGAGTAATATTCCATTGTGTATATGAACCACATCTTCTTTATCCATTCATCTGTTGAAAGCTATCTCAGCTCCTTCCACAGTTGGGCTATTTTGGACATTGCTGCTATAAACATTGGGGTGTAGGTGCCCCTTCTTTTCACTAGCTCTGTATCTTTGGGGTAAATATCCAGTAGTGCAACTGCCAGGTCGTAGGGCGGTTCTATTTTCAACTTTTTGAGGAGCCTCCATACGGTTTTCCAGAGTGGCTGCACCAGCTTGCATTCCCACCAACAGTGTAGGAGGGTTCCCCTTTCTCCACATCCTTGCCAACATTTGTTGCTTCCTGACTTGTTAATTTTAGCCATTCTAACTAATGTGATGTGATATCTCATTGGTTTTGATTTGTATTTCCCTGATGGCTAGTGATGTGGAGCATTTTTTTCATGTGCCTGTTGCCCATTTGTATGTCTTCTTTGGAGAAGTGTCTGTTCACGTCTTCTGCCCATTTCTTGACTGGATTATTTGGTTTTTGGGTGCTGAGTTGGGTAAGTTCTTTATAGATCTTGGATACCAGCCCTTTATCTGATATGTCATTTGCAAATATCTTCTCCCATTGCATGGGTTGCCTTTTAGTTTTGTTGACTGTTTCCTTTGCTGTGCAGAAGCTTTTTATCTTGATGAAGTCCCAGTAGTTCATTTTTGCTTTTGTTTCCCTTGCCTTTAGAGACTTGTCTAGAAAGAATTTGCTGTGGCCAAGGTCAAAGAGGTTATTGCATAATTTGGCTATTGTTGATAGTGCTGCTATAAACATTGGGGTGCATGTGCCCCTTTGAATCAGTATTTTTGTATCCTTCAGATAAATACCTAGGAGTGCATTGCTGGGTGGTAGGGTAGAAACTGATTTCGCTTAGATGTCTGTCTTTGTGAGATTCTGACCAATTGCATGCTTAAATTGTAATCACTGAAATGCAGCTCTGGCGACTCCACATACATTGCCTTTGGTTGCTAAGCGTGGACGTACTAGTGAGGTTTCTAACAAGCAGATGGGGTGGGGGTGGGCTCATGAGAGAGAGTTCGTCATCTTTAAAGAGAAACCCAAGAAACACTCACTCTGTCACACGTCCTCACAGGACAACAGAGAATGGTGCCAGTAGTCTGCAACTGCTGAGATGCCCAGGCTGACAGGCTGAGGGTAGGAGAGCAGGGTCATGGAAGAGATCTGGTCTTGAACCCCGTGACTGCGCTGCTGAAGTCATCAATCTTCGTGTTCCATATTCGGGGACTTCTTATATTAAGTAATACGTTTTCCTTCTTCTTTAAGCCCACTTGCTACATGATTAGATGCTGAGCCTCCCAGAGACGTCCTAACTAATTCTGCTAGCTTGAGGATATTTATAGTCCTGCAATTAAAGACTTTTTGTACAGAACAGTTTTGAATGTTCTTTCAGAATTTTTCCACATGTCCACATTTTAAAAACTACAATAAAAAGAGAAAAGGTCAGCATCCACAGCTGGAAAAAAACTGATGCATTCATTAAGAGTCTTCTTCCCAGTTTTACTTAAAGTTATTTTTTTATAACTTCAGTTATTTCACAGTGTTAGGAAACTTAAGAAAACAAGACCTTTACAAGTGCTACCGTGTGGAGATGTAGGTCACAGATTGTCTTTTCTGTGTGGAACCAGAATACATTCAGTGACCTCTTTCCGAAGGGAAAATATGAAAGCAGAATTGTAGGTCTCTGTGTGGGGAGGGGAGCAACTCAAACACACAAAGGGGAGCCACAAAGGGAAACACAGTGTGAATCCATCCTTCTGTCCTTCCTACTGGCTCCCAGGGACCTGCTTAGGGAGCCAAACTGCAGGGGGGCCCAGAGGCAGCTGGATGGTAGTGATGCCTGGGGCTCTAACTGGTCTGAGACGGAAAGACGGTGTGAGGCTTTCCCGACAAGTGACGGTCTACAGTCTCGATGTGAGACGGGAGGCTCAGTGCTCTGTGCGTGAAGGGTGAGCAGAGAGCTGTGGTCCAGGCAGCGGCTGCCATCAGCCCCACAGGAGTGGGCCACGTTTCCTGGGCCCCTGAGCACGTATGAAGGAACTAGATGGGGACACTTAGTCCTCCTGGCCTGGGGCTGGGAGAATGGAAGCAGATGAGAGGAAAGGCGAGCCTGCCCTCATGCCTCAGGGGCAGACTGCAGTTTCTCTGCGGGCACAGCGCCAGCTGGCTTCCCACCAGCGGGGCTGACGAGACTGAAGCCATGCCATGCCTTTAAAGGATGCCAAGGACATGTTTAGGGAAGGTGAGTGGTCCCAGGAAGAAAGAGGACGCAGAAATCCCCCTGCATATACACAAAGGGGGTAGGGGCAGACAACATGAATTTTTTAAAATGGATAGGAGATTCAGTTGCAGGTAATTTTTTTAGGAACTGAGAAAGATTCCCATAATTTTCCAGTTAATCAGTTTAAGAGATGAATCCAAGGCAAGGATGGTCACTTCAGAGCTCTGAATTACTGGCCTGCAGGCCCGAGGGAATGTCACGCCTCAGAGCGCGGAGTACAAAAGACAGGGACACGTAACGTGGTGGATTAAAGACACAGAGATTTGAAACCATGAAGGGGGAAAAAAACCTTTCTTAATCCAATAAAGACCTAAAGCCAGTTTGAAAGTGCGTACCAAGTGGTAGCTCCGAGAAAAACGGACCCAAGGAAGCCTAATGAAATCCCCGCACAAGCAAAGTCTGTGGGGCCTGCAGGAAATACGCCAAACCCTGGAAGATGCACTTCAAACTCTTTTTTAGGGGGAAATGACAGCTCCGATTGTGTATTTTAGTAAGAGGTGGAAGATTTATGTGATCTGAAGAGAAAGCAGAGTATTC